AAATAAAATGAAAAATCCACAGACATTGATTGATTGATTGATTGATTGATTGATTGATTGATTGACTGACTTACGTAGTTACTCATTAGATATATACAGTGCTCCACATTTCTTCCAGGCACTCAGGCTCAGTATGACTTACATAGAGATCCCCCATCATTTTATCCCCACAACCACCACCCATGAGATTAATTAAACTAGGGTCAACCAGTGAGTTTCCATGTAGAAATTTATGGCTCTCCCATTCTAGTCCAAAACCTTGATTACAGCACCCCACTAGTTCTCTTTACAAAGAACACAATATTAATATCTAAAATATACTAGAAAATAATGTTAATTCAACTACAGGCCTTACTTTTATTTGCCTAATAGTAAGATACTGCTTTTTTATAAACTTGATTTCAATCAGCAGGTGGCAGAATATTCAAGCTTTGATATCTAGTTTATAGCTTAATAATGAACAACACAATAACACTAATATTTCAGAATGGGTGGATGTATATTTAACTTAATAGCCCCTGATAACCAGTCAGCTAAATAAGGGGAAATTCTTAAGATATAGGAAGTAATATTATCCTAAAATATATGTGTATGAGTGATTGTGTGTGTGTGTGTAAAGTGGCATTTGTGAAAGAACTGAGTTTGTGTCCTTTCTCTTCAGCCAAAGGGAAGATATATACTGCATTCAGTTTCAGGGTTGGCATAGTTTCCAGCTCTGTGTGGAGTCATATAAGAGCAGTGAGAAAATACAGAATATTGTAGATTTCCAGTGGTTGTGACACATCTTCACTGCTCAGCATTTAGTCCCTCTGCCAATAAAGCACTACCGATAGGGCAGGCGTACTGGAGACTCTCATTGACTTGGAAGAATCTCAAAAGGCAGCCCACAGCTTCTAGCTCCCTCTAGCAGCCTTAAGAATATGGGATCGTTTCCTAAAGGAATACTTCGATGATTCCAGAGGTAGAGAATAGCCATCAAGATCAGTTGTCATTCATAGCCCAATCATCCATGGATGCGTCCAGTTCCTTTTTCAATCCATCAAACTACAGCAAATTCCAGAGTTTAGCTATATGCTGTAGAAAGGAATACTTCCTTATACTGGCCCTGAATTTCCCTCCATTTAGTTTGAATAGATGTACCAGAGCTAGTGAAAAAGGAGAAAAACTTTCTATCCACATTTCCCATACTAGGTGTGATAGGCTTGTGAGTAGCTATGTAGATTCACTAATAAAACAATCCAGACTGTGGGGTTAACATGATTCATTCTGACAAAGAAAAAAGGCCACTGAATTTGACTTCAATCAATTAGTTTATTGATTAGTTGTTTGACCATATCAAACAACTATAAAAACAATACAAAGAAAAAGACAATACAGATAGTCCTCACTTACTGATTGTCTCATTCAGTGACCATTCAAAGTTACAGTAGGTTTACAACCGGTTCTCGAATTTGCAGCTGTTGCAGCATCCCTGTGGTCACATGACTGCCATTTGTGACCTTCACAGTGGGCTTCCAACAAGCAAAGTCAATGGGGAAGCCAGCAGGAAGTTGCAAGTCATGGTCACATGATGTCATGTTTAATGACCTGTGATGATTCACAACCACAGCAGAACAGATGTCATAAGTCCAGTTTGGTCATGTCACATTTCACTTAACAACTGCGTCACTTAGTGACAGAGTTGCTGGTCCCAATTGTGGTCAGTAAGTGAAGACTACCTGTAGACTGTCGCCCCTGCAGTCAACTTCAATCTCTTCTAAGTGGTCCATCTTCTTTTGGATGGTCTTTGATATAAAGGACATGGTCCTCCTAATAATATGCAAGTAAGTTCTCTGCTAAAAGTACAGGTATTCCTCACTTACTGATCACTTGTTCAGTGACCGTTCGAGTTACGACGGTGCTGAAAAAATAACTTTATGGCCCATTTACAACCATTGCAGTGTCCCTCAGTCACTTGATCACCATTACAGTCAGTTCGTGTTGTCCTGTGCCTGACCTGCATTTTCCCAGTTAGGGAGCCTTACATGCCTGTATATACCCTTAAACAAGAGTTTGAATATAAAACCTGGATTAGATAGAGAAGTCTAGGTTCCATGTTCAGAGCCCACAAATTTCTTTCAGAGTATGTCTCTGTTTATCGAATCAAAGGCTATGCTAAGGTCTATGAAAGTTGTAAAAAATTGACTCCCTTAACTGTGCATTTTTCTATATGATAACATAAAATGTAACAGTTATCATAGTAGAGTGGTGAGGTCTAAAACAGAATTGCTCTTCCGCTAACAAATGCTTTTTGAATTGCCTAGTCCTCAATCTTATACAAAGATGACATCCTTAAACTGCATTCACTTTTCAGAATAGGTTCCTGCATGTGGTAAATTGCGGGAGAGTTTTTCATTAAGTACATCTTGAAAATGTTGGACTTGGCTTGGGTCTTGCAGTCTGCCAACATTGAATGACTTTCTGACAGACCTTGGTTGCTTATGATGTAAAGGGATGTACAGCTTGAGGACCGACTAAACCAGCCTGTGATCTGTCCAACACACAGCACCTCGCATGGCTTGTGTGATGGTGACATCTTTAAGGTTGCGCTGATGTACTATGACATAGTCAAGTAGCTGCCAATATTTGGACGCATCCAGGTAGTTTTGTACTTGTTTGCAAGTCTGAACATGGTGTTAGTA